ATAACAGACGCAGACAACAGCCTTCTGAAAGAGACCTTAAAATTTCCTTTCCAGCTGCATCCACACAAGATGTAAACCCCAAACAGCTCAGCCCAAAAAGACACGAGGGCTTCCCCAGCCAATGAGACTGTTTAGTCCCGGTTGTCAAGGACACCCGCTAACCAGTATGTGACAAAGCAGGAGAGACACAGCAAAGGAAGTGTGAACAGGGATGGGGAAGGTCACCAGCACTCCACTGATCACTGACTGACAAAGTGTACGGGAGGAAAACCGACGGCCAAACATGGTAGACACAGTTACCGAATGATAAGCTCAAGCAGCCATTAAATCCTCCTGTTTCCCACAGACAGGGATACAACCTGGGGGCTGAACGGCTCTCTGCTATTTCACCTCTATTCATTTTTTCTTCTCCCCTTGCCTGAGATCACACCTCCAGGGGGTGTTTTGACAATAGATTATAAGAGTCACGGAGTCATAATTCACTCTGCAGCCAATGGAGGCAGAGTAAGGACATCACTGGAGCAGCAGCATTATACTTCCATTAAAGGCCACCATTCCCCCCAACCCCCTGCCATGGCATTAATAAAGTCAAGATCAGAATTCCCTCCAGACTAGAAGCTTGGCAGGACCATTTCTCACTATGCATTTATACAGTCCCCCGCACAGCAGAGCCCTGATCCCAATGGGTGACTACTGAGGTAGAATGATTAATATTCGATATAAAAATAAACGAGAATAGAGGCCCAAAATGGCCACGCTTACATGTCTTGACTATCTATTTTCCTACAGAGCCAGAGATTACAGATTGTTGTTTTAAATAAGTTCTTTTGCAGATGTTTAGCTCGGTTGAGGCAAGAACCTTTGGCAACATACAAAATAATGGAGACTAGAGCTATTCCAAAACCAGCGGCTACTCGTGTATCACATCCACCCTGAACAATACGGGGCTGGATGAATGCCTCTCCAAAGGCAGTGCCACATCACACCAGCACTCATGGCCTGTACAGACTGCCTGTTGGGGGACTGTACGGAGCCGGGCACTAGCCTATGAAACCGTTAATTGTTGATGATCTGGTTGCCTTACTGCCTCTGCCCCCACACAGCACAAGGGTTGTGATCAGTGGAAGCACTGGAGTCCCCAGGGACTCAAACAGGATGGGGATGCCAACACGGTATTTTTAGTGGAGGGTCCTCAACTCCAAGATGTATGTCCCCCTCTGTCCACCAGAGCTTGGGTGTGCCACCCTTCTGGGCACAGTGCAAGGGCCAGCCTTCCGCAGGGACATGTAGGGCAGGGTTGAGAGGCTGTGGGTGGCAGCCAGGCGTGCTATGCCATCGTCACTGCCACAATCGCTGGGTTCTAGGCCGGCAAGTCACATCTTGTGTCCCACGTGCGAGTCAGGGATCAGTTATCGGTGTCTTACCCAGGCGGTAGGTTTGAAGAAGCTTTGTGAAGCCCCCAGAGCTTGGAGAGGCTGCTGGGTTCACTGCTGGGGCCCAGTGGCTGCTTCCCACGTGCACCTGCTGCCCCATGCCAGGGAGAGGCCACTCTCCGGTCTCCTCGCCCCCCTGCTGGGCCTGCAGCCTGGAGCCCAGCGCTGGGTTCTCCCAGCCCATCACGGGGGGGGGGGGGGGGGGGGAGAAAGGGGGACAGGCCTGGAGACGGGCGGTCTGTGGCTACCCCAGGCAGGGGCACAGCACCCTCCCTCAGCACCAAGCAGCACCGCGCCAGGGCACTTGGGGGGCAGCTAAAAAACAGGTCTGAGCCTGAGGGAGCCGAGACATTATCCAGCCCCTGCGGGCCAGTGCCGCCCGCCCGCCCAGCCCCCGCCACCTCATTGCACGTGTAGCCCCCCCGGTACCTGCCCCC